TAACTGTAAGTCGCCGGAGGTCGCGCTGGGACCTCGGCCCGCCTGCGCCTCTGGGAAGTGAGCCGACTTTCCCCAACTCGACCGGGTCGGAGTCCGGGCCATCGGGAGCCTCGTGTCCCCTCGGCGTCTCCCCGACTCGCCCCTCTTTCGGACCCGGCGCGGCCGCCGATGCGCACAACTTTCCGTGCCTCTCGGGCCGTCGGCTGCTGCTGCTTCTGCAGAGAGGGGCGGAGCGGGTCCTCCGCGTGAGATCGTGCAAATAAAGGCGCTGATCGCGGCGCCCGTCCCGCACCCCCTTTCCCTTCCTGGGTCTGCCCCCGGGTCTCTCCCAGGACGGGGGACGGAGCGAGGGGTCAGATCGCAATCGCTGGTTGGACCGGGACCTCCCCACGTGTACCTGCTGGACCTGGCGACCTGGTGTCCGTCCCGGAGAGGGACCGGCAGCTGGGTCCGTGCGGGGCGGGGAGCTGATTGCAGCCAGAAAGAGTGGCTGCTGCAAGCGCGAGCTCCGTGCCTTTCCCCGGAAACTGATGCCTAGTTTGTTTGTTTTGTTTTGTTTCAACAGTGTTTCCGCTCCCTGCAAAAAGAAACACAAGCTAGAGCGGGAAGATGACGAGTAAGTTTCAGGGGCCGTTTATTCGCTTGTCGTGTATTGATGGACCCTGTTTTGTGTCCTTCGAGATTTGTTTGCAGTGAAAGGATGGAAGGAGGTGCAGGAACCGATAGCACCAGCAGCATGGGTGGTGGTGCTTTAGAGAAAGGCACCGAGTGGCCGGCAGAGTCCGGGCACCTCCCGCTCTCTGATGGATTGGGAAGTTTTGATTTCGAACCATGTGAATGTTACACGCACACACAGTGAAAAGAATTCCAAGTGGATATGTAGTATTTAAAAGTCTTCCCTTCCCAGCTCACAGCTCTCCCCGGAGGCCACCACCGTTAACTGCTTCCTGTATCTCCCCTGGAAGATAATTGTAAAAAAACTTACACGCTTATCACTGTATCTGCCTGCATTTCTTAGTAAGAAGATATATTGTTCACACTGTGCAACACAAGCATCTCTTCATTCTACTTTCTTGTAGCTTGTTGCCTATGGGCCCATAGAATTTGCCTAATTCCTTTTTTAAGGCTAGGTATAGATCACCAGGATCCTGTGGATGGATTGCCAAGCTATTTCTAATTTTTTGCTATTACTAACAATTCTACCATGGGCTTTTTTTTTGTTTTTTGCATGTGAAGAAAGATAAAGATTGAATTTACGATGACTTTTTAAAAATTAAATCTTTATTATTGAAATTATTACATGTGTCTCTGCCCCAGGCCTTCACCACCCTATTGTCTGTGTCCTGGATTATGCATATATGCATGCAAGTCCTTTGGTTAATCTCATCCCACCCACTTCCACCTTCCCTCTGACATTCCAGTCTGTTCCATGCTTCTGTGTGTCTGGATCTATTTTTGTTCATCAGTTTATTTTGTTCATTAGATTCCACATATGAGAGATCCTGTGATACTTTCTCTTAATGACTTATTTGGCTTAGCACATGGCCATTCTTTTTAAATTCTTTGTATATATTTGCAAGTAGGTGAGTGGATTTCCTAGACAGGAAATTGCTGGGTCTTAAATGTATGCATTTTCAATTTCTTTTTTTTTTTTAAGAATTTTTTAAAAATATATTTCTTTTTAAAAAATGTATTTCTTGCCGAAACCGGTTTGGCTCAGTGGATAGAGCGTCGGCCTGCGGACTGAAGGGTCCCGGGTTCGATTCCGGTCGGGGGCATGTACCTGGGTTGCGGGTACATCTCCAACTGGGAATTGACCAGGAATCGAACCGTGACCTCCTGGTTCATAGGTCCACGCTCAACCACTGAGCCATGCGGGAACCAGAGTTGTCCATTTATATTCTTTATAGCAGTGGAAATGTCTGTTTTTCATCTTCTCACCACATCTGTATTTTTAAATTTTATGATCTAATAGGCAAAAATTGTATTCATAGGTAGGCAGTCAGTGGGGAGGTTTTTGGGGGAGCGGGGATAAAAGAGGATATCCAGATGACCAGCCAAACGAAAAGATGTTCAACCTCATCAGTCTTTAGGGAAGTGCATAGTAAAGCCACCGTGATATAGGAGTGGTCATGGAGCATCAGGAACTCTCAAACACTATGGATGAGAATGTAAATTGGCATAGCACTTCGTGAAACAGGGTGGCATTATCTAATAAGTTGAAGGCACATGTACCTTTTAACCCACCAGTTCTCCTCCCAAGTATGTACATGTGCACATCAGGAAACATACAAGATGTTCTGGTCTTGAGATTGCACTTGCTAATGCCCAGACCATAGAGTACTTTTGGCCTAAATACTGAAATAGAACAGGGCTAGTTGCCATACACCTTTCAACTAAACTGGTAATATCATGCTTGCAAATACTACTTCATGCTAAGAGTTTGAACAGTTGAACTTTCCTAAGGAGCTGGCAGTTTTCGTGAAAATGGCACAGAAGTAGGATTCAGGGGCTCTACGGTGGGTCTGTCTGGTGCCCAACATGTAATTCTGTCTTACATGACACTTGGAGGGAGTACTTAAGTCTTTCTAGATCTTAGTTTCCAAATGTGCAAAACAAATTGGATTTGATGAACTCTAAGGTCTCTATGAAATATAAAATTTTCAAGGAAGTAAAGATAGTCTATGTTTGAAGGTAGGGGAATAGTGTACCTCATTAATCAAGAACTCAGAGAGCCAACTGGCAATATGGCATTTTGGAGAGGACCAAGAAATCAGCAGCATCAGCACCTGTAGTACTTAGACCAGACCTGATGAGGCATATGTTTTTGCCATAAGGGAATACGGGATGCCTACAACCACTTTGTCATGTGACCAGTTTGATAGAGCAGCAGAAATATGACAAAATATAGCTGGTGCTGAATTACTGCTTTGTGACTTTTGGTTCCTTACTCCCACTTGACCTATCCAGAGCCAAATAGGAATGACTTTAATTTTCCACATTGAACACTTATAATTTATAAAAGCAAGATCTTGTAGGAACAGCTTAGTTTGGCAGAGAGCAGTAGAAAAAAACCTTTCAAGGAGGCGGTGAGAATGACAGAAAAGAAAATGCGTGGTTTTATAAACACACTGTCAGAAGTTATTAGAGTTCTTTCATATTAGAATTTGATTAGAGATAGGGATGATCTACATTTCATTTATATCCAGGATTTTCATTGAAAAAACTTTTTTTTCCAGTTGCCCAGTAAGAAAGAAAAGGCTTACTGAAGCAGGGCTCTGTGCTGGTCCTAATGACTGGATTCTTTGTGCACATCAGGATATAGAGGGCCATGGAGTAAGTCCATGCCCTAGTGGCCTTTCTGCACCTGCCATGTTAGATGTGACTTGTGAAGAAATGGATCAGACCACTGGAGAACCACAGTGTGACGTTGCCAGAAGGAGGCTTCAGGAAATTGAGGACAGGTAAATGGGCAGCGTATATACCGGGCTTGTTGCTGTTCCGATGTCATGTCTCTACTCTTTTAAGCTAGTCTGATTCATCACTTGATGATACCTTGATTCTCAACCTCTTAGAGAAACTGTAAAAATAAGGAACTCAAAATGTACATATTAAATGTTAAAGTAAGCTCTTCTTGTAGAACTGTACAGAATTTTTTCACTTACTACTATCTCTGAATATTAATTTTTGGTTTCTGGGACTTTCAGGGAGACATTCTTTTTTTAAAAAATATGTTTTTATTAATTTCAGAGAGGGAGGGAGAGGGAGAGAGAGAGAAAAATCAGTGATGAAAGAGAATCATCGATTGGCTTCTTCAGACACACCCCCTATTGGGGATCAAACCTGCAACCCAGGCATGTGTCCTTGACCGGAATCGAACCTGGGACCCTTCAGTCCACAGGCTGACGCTCTATCCACTGAGCCAGACCAGCTAGGGCCAGGGACACATTCTTCAACTTTGCATCTAATATAAAACTTTTATTAAATGAAATGTTGAATAACTATTCTGTGTATAATTTTTTCACTCATGTATAGCCTCATGTTTTACTTGACCTTTTTTTCGCTATAGCACCTGTTACTTTTATCCTTTTTTATTTTTTTCCAATTACTAGAATATATAATAGTTTGACTAAGTTTTTTTTCTCTGCTTCTGCTGCCTTTATTTAGAATAATTGACGAAGATGAAGAAGTTGAAGCTGACAGAAATATTAACCATCTCCCCAGTCTTGTCCTTTCTGATGCTATGAAAACAGGTTTGAAGAGGGAATTTGATGAAGTCTTTACAAAGAAAATGATTGAGTCCATGTAAGTTTTGGTTCCTGGTTTCCATTTACTTATGATCTTGAAAACCCAGAGTCTCTAGACCAGGGTTCCTCAAACTACGGCCCGTGGGCCACATGCAAATACAAATATTGTATTTGTTCCCGTTTTGTTTTTTTACTTCAAAATAAGATATGTGCAGTGTGCATAGGAATTTGTTCATAGTTTGTTTTTTTTTTAAACTATAGTCCCGCCCTCCAACAGTCTGAGGGTCAGTGAACTGGCCCCCTGTTTAAAAAGTTTGAGGACCCCTGCTCTAGGGTCAGAAAGATCTAGGTGCAAATGCTCCCTCCTCCACTCACTCGCAGTGGGAGCCGGGCCAGCTTCTCCACCTTGCTAACCTCGGTGTGTCCTCGCCATTTTTAGTTCATTGGAGTGAGCAAAATGCTCTGCAAGAAAGAGTTTGAAGAACGCAATAGTTTGCCTACTTACCCCTTGGAGTCTTTGAATACAGGCCTGAAAGGCAGTGTATTCTGTTTGGGAATGGGAGGGTTGGCAAGGAGTAGCCCATTGTCTTAAATTCCTATGATAGGACATAGGATCCACATTTCAAAACCTCTTGTTCACCTGGCTTCTCAGTCATCCAGGAACACTATCGAGACCTAGGAACAAACAAACAAAAATGTCTCCCAGCAAAGGTTACAAATCAAAACTCATATGTTTGTCTTATAGTGTATATAGCCTCTCAAGGCCTTTAGCTGTAAGCACCATTATTCCCCTAATTTAGACACAGTTTCGTTTTTCTGGTTTCCTAGATCATCAGAGTAGAAACAGCCAGTGAGAGCCGAACAAACAGACTTGTTGTGAGTAATGAAAGTATAGTGTGAGGACAAGAGAGGAAACTGGAAAGCCAACGTAAGATCCTTAACTAAAAGGCAAAACATCCTGGAGCTCATTAACATAAGAGCTAATGATAGGTCGGTAATTCTTGTATCCTTGAGCCTAGCTCAGTGATGGCGAACCTTTTGAGCTCGGCATGTCAGCATTTTGAAAAACCCTAACTTAACTCTGGTGCCGTGTCACATAAAGAAATTTTTTGATCTTTGCCACCATAGTAAAACAAAGACTTATACTTTTGACATTTATTGTATATATTTAAATGCCATTTAACAAAAGAAAAGTCAACCAAAAAAATGAGTTCGCGTGTTATAGGTTCGCCATCACTGGCCTAGGTAGTCTCCAGTCCTCAGCATCTGCCGTGGGCAGGTTCTAAGTGCCATTTATGTGCTGCCTGAATAGGACTTGAGAGTCAGGGTACGTGGCATACACCTGGTACCTTCTCGTCGGGCACCAGTCCCAGGGATGCTAGGTAGATGAAGCATTACTGCCTTTGGCCATAGTGGGTTCAGCGCTGCTTGCTGTTAGATCACAGCCCCTAACTTGAGCTTATAATTAACTGCCCAACCCTGAGGATGGGTCGATAGTTTAGCCAAGAGAAAGCAGGTCATGTTACCTCCAGCCTAAAACATAGCACTTTCTGCTCTCGGTAGTTTTCCAGAAGCTCACCTTCGGAGATACTCTTTATTGTCTGTGTTTTATTTGCTTTACTTGCCTTTGGGCTCTAGAAACCATCGAACCATTAGTAACTGGGGAGGTTTGATGGGAGCAGACACAGGCATTGGGCACATTTGGCTTACTGCAAAAAGAATTATACTTTTTGAAAAATATATTTTAATGATTTCAAAGAGGAAAGGAGAGGGAGAGAGAGAGAGAAACATCAATAATGAGAGAGAATCACTGGATTGGCTGCCTTCTGCATGCCTCCAACTGGGGATCAAGCCTGCAACTTGGGCATGTGCCCTGAGCGGGAATCGAACCATGACCTCCTGGTTCATAGGTCAGTGCTCAACCACTGAGCCACAGCTGCCAGGCAACATACTTCATATACTAAGCAAAGGGCATACTGAGATACTTTTAATATATTTTTCCAGTGCTTCGTTTTCATTTATAATAGGTTAGTACAAGATAGTAGCCCACATCAGTGTGTCTCTCTCCCATCAATGTTTCTCTCTCTCCCCCCTCTCTCCTTTCCACTCTGTCTAAAAAAAAGTTATATTAAATCAAGGGCCTCTATTTTTTCACATTGGATGTTTATATTCTAATCACAGCATCAGTACAACCAGTTGGTTTGGTTAAAAATGCATGCAGAACTGTAAAATTTTATGTATTTGAATATCCTTTTTTTAAAAAATATATTTCTTTATTGATTTCAGAGAGGAAGGGAGGAGAGAGAAATAGAAACATCAGTGATGAGAAAGAATCATTGATTGGCGGCCTCCTGCATACCCCCCACTGAGGATCGAGCCCACAACCCAGGCATGTGCCCTTGGCCGAAATCAAACCTGGCACCCTTCAGTCCTCAGGCTGATGCTCTATCCACTGAGCCAAGCCAGCTAGGGCTGAATATCCTTTCTCAAAATTAATTTGCATTATTATTATGAATCTCTACTTTTGATGCTTTCAGTGTGTAATTCTACATATTAGACAGTAGACTAGCTTCTCAACATATATCTTTTATTTTCACGTCTTAGAATTTTTAATAAAAATCTATATTTTCTTTCTTAGGAGCCGTCCTTCCATGGAGCTTGTGCTCTGGAAACCTCTCCCTGAACTCCTTCCCGATAAGCCAAAGCCACCATCTAACGCTAAGAACTACACTAGAGAGAGCCAAGCTAAGCCAGCCGCCGCCGGCACCACCTTCCCTAGGAGAACTGAACTGTTCTTGGAACCTCGGCAAACAGGGCTGCCAATGTACAATAGTTTGGAGACAGCTGCTTGCACAGAAGAAGAGATGGAACTCTAGAAATGTGTTTCTATACTAAAGTTGTCAAATTTTTGAAGGCTCATGTGTTCATTCATGAGCCTGCTTATACAGCATAGGGACTTGAAAGTTCTGAAACGGGTGTAAGAACATCTCCACCTGTGGTTTGGGGAGGGCCTCTCATTTTGGGTAGCCATTTCTCAAATTCAACGTTTTGCCAAGGAAGCTTGCCTCAAGGGAAAAGCTATTTTCTAGAGGCATTATTTTTGTGAGCTTACAGTCTGCACAGGCAAGTATCGACACTCCGTGTGTAAGGGTGACTTCAATCATCTGTCACATTGTTTAAACCATTCAGAAACTTGGAGAATACTGAGACTCTTGAGTTGAAAAAGATGCATTAAGAAAAAAGGGTACTGCTACTACAACTGAACCCTGACAGTTGAATCCCAGCTTATCTGGAGATATGAACTCTGTTTACAGTGGTGACTATGACTGGGGAGAAGGAGGGAAGAAAGCCGTAGCTCAAGTCTATTGCTAAGAAATTTAACGGAGGCTCTGAAACTTGTACAGTAGTTGTCATTTCAATGTAGCTAAGTTGATTAAATAGCCAGTAGCATTGTGGCTCACCTCTCTGCCTCTGAAAATGCAATGAAAATATAAAGAAAAGGTTTTTCCTTTGAGGCTTTTTTGCTCTGTGTTACTGTAGTTCCTGGGATTCCCTTGCATAATTGATAAACCGAACTATTCAGTAATGTTTACAACTTAATTAACTTGGATAATTTAAAAGATTTTGAGGTAACCCATGTGCAAATTGGCTGTGGGAGAAGCACTCTTGGGTAACCCTGAGGAAGTGCTGTGTCAGCTAAGCCCAGGATTGATCACTTCAGTAGCTAAAAAAAGGTACCGGTATGAGCAAGTGGAGTTTTAAATGTTAATTTAGAAACAATGACTGGATCTTTAACTGAGAACGTATGGGCAGGCCATGTTGAGATTTACTGAAATAGCCAGTTTGCCTGGTGCTTCAACTATTCAGTAACCTAAAAGTTGGCAGAGAAGAGTTTCCTGCGAGCAGGCAGGAAGTCTTCAGTTCTCAGACGTAAACCAGCTCAAGGTTTCCTTTGGGGACAACCAAGTTTAAAGTGTTTTACTTCTCAGGAAGAACTTTTCTGTGTGGCAAGGACTCAGTAGTGCACAGTGAAATGACAGTTCCTTTAATGCTACAGAATATTCACTATAACTTATTAAATGAGTGTAATATTGGCCCTTTCCTCACATAGCAGGAGACCACCTAGTTCTTTCTGTTTTCTGGATTTCTTCTCCCTTTGTAGGAATCAAATACCTTGTATAGAAAAAAAAAAAAAGATTTATACCAAGTATAGAGGTAACTTTTTGAAACTAGCTCCCAGGCATTTTGAAACACATGCTGAAATCCTTCCCCTTGTTACAAATGGTGTAGAAGTCACAAGTCTGTTTATTGGACTGTTTCTTCTCTTGCCTTTTGTTCCTGCTTTCTCTATTTCTGTCTGGACAGTCAGGAAAAGATTTAATGTTTAATATTTAAACAAAATATTTAATGTCTACACAAGAAAATTATTCAAACTTCAAACCAGTATTTAAACCAGTTGGAAACCAGCTAATAGTTTCTTAATCTCCGATTTAGAGATGAATGTAAACTGTATTCTGTTGAAATCTGCCTGTGTCTGATTCATGCCATTTGAAAAACTCCTGCCTTTAGGTCATTGTTTATTGGGACCAACTTGTAAAGTTTGTCGCCTTAAAGAAATCTCCATGTTAAAAACTTTGTTCTATTGTAACCCAAAAACATGAAGCAACTCCCGGAATTTGGAGTTAGTCCCAGTGTTAGGGTGGAAGGGGAGGTGACAGCTTTCCCAAGAAGCACCCGAACACACGATTGTCTTCTATAGGAATGATGGGCAGGCCTTTGGTCAAGGGTCCGTGTAATGAAGAGGAGGAAGAAAGAGCCCCCAGACCAAGGCTCTGATACCATAGGCAAATACAGGAGAGAATTAAGATTCTGTTTATTAAAATCTAAACAGAACTTGTTTCAGGAGTCAAGTGATCTGACATGACAATTCTTTCTGCAGGAAAATGGATGTTCGATGCTCCTTTCTAAATTTGCATACGTTTATACTAAAATGGTCTTCATCTTTGTGGTGCTTACTCACCTGAGCCGTCTCCACAGCCCCCATGCTTCTGTTTTGTTTTTCTTTTTATAGCATAAGACTTTTAGTTTTGCCTTAAGGTTTCCCTAGGGGAATAACGTCTTTTCATTTTGTACAGCTTTTGCAGCATGGATCAAACATTGGCTTTCTATGCTAATGTATGAAGAGGAAAAATTATCTAAAGCAGGTGAGCTTTAATGAACAAATGTATATTTTCTCTGAGTTTGAATAGGGTGTGTGGATTTTTAAAAAAAAATTAATATGAAGAAAGTAAGTCCAGTTCTCACATATTAATCAGTCAAATAAAAAAAACCCTCATTCTTGAAAAGGTGCAAATGTAAAATTTAGGAAAATGAACCATGAGAAAAAATTATCTAAAGCAGGTGAGCTTTAATGAACAAATGTATATTTTCTCTGAGTTTGAATAGGGTGTGTGGATTTTTAAAAAAAATTAATATGAAGAAAGTAAGTCCAGTTCTCACATATTAATCAGTCAAATAAAAAAAACCCTCATTCTTGAAAAGGTGCAAATGTAAAATTTAGGAAAATAACTAGAACCATGAGAAGAATGCTTACCAGCAAGATCATTAATTATTTTGGATTTAGAACTTGGTTTTGTTTTTTAATAGTGATAAGAATGGTGCAGTACTAGGAAAGTTCTGGAAAATGCTGTCAATTTTGCTTTAAAACGAGAATCTGGTGTTTCTGTATTTGTTTTCAATAAAACTTCATAAGTGTTTTGGACTTTTTGAGATATTTGTATTTCTGTACTTAAGTAAATATAACAATCACGTGTTTGCTTTCCTCTAAATTGTATTTCAAGTAGCATTCATAACAGTGAGGGGCTTAAATATATTCTAAGAGATGATTATGTTGGTTTAAAGGTAAGTTTCATAAATGAATTAGCTCTTTACAAACCAGTCATAGTATGTCTTGCCGTTCCTAAAACCCCTAGAATGCTATCCACTCTTAGCAATTCACTACTGTTGTATGAACAGCATTGATTGGTAATGGTGATTAATTGCCCGTATTCAAGATGGCAGTAGTGACTGAGCCTTCAAAAATGTTCAAATATGGAGTTGAAAAGGGTGCATAGTGTTCACAGTTCTGTTTTTATAGGTTTGGGACCTTTAAAAATAAGGAATAGGAAAATTCCAGGATGCTCAATTACATGATCATTCCTTTCTTGAGTTGACAGGTCACTGGGTGGCAGTATTGCCTACATATTCACAACCATTGTTTGATAAATGTGGATTCCCTGATTTATGGGCAGGTTAAGTTTGGGTTATAATTATACAGAAAACTCAGGATCTTGTTTTGTTTTTCATTTGGAAATCACAGCTAAAAGTTATTTTTAAAAGTTCTTTCACAGGCTTAAAAACTAAAAAACCTTAGATACTGACAAGATAGTATAATCCAATTCACTAGGCGCAGTGTTCAGACTTCAGTGGTTTCAGTCTTTTTGCAGCAATATCTAAAATGCCATTTGGTTTTATTGCTAACGTGTTTTAGGCAGAGTAACATTTGATTCCTGAGGGGGAGCCCTGGCCATTGTGGCTCGGTTGAGTGTTGTTTTGTGCATTGAAAGGTCACTGGTTGAATTCCTGGTCAGGGCACATGTCCAGGTTGTAGGTTTGATCCCCATTGGGGGTTGTGCGGGAGGCAGCTGATCAATAATTTTCTCTCTCCTTCCCCCTCTCTAAAGTCAGTTAAAAACACATAGACATTTAATTCCTTGAGGGGATAGTTTTGTGTATATCCATTTGGTTCAAATATTCTGCCAGTGGCATTGTAGATATGACAACTCCAGATTAGTGGGTAAGTAAGCCAGTCTTTCTGTCCCTTAATGAATATTGGGTCAAAGGGTAAAGGTTTAATTCAGACTTTTAGACTTTAACCTGTGCCATAAAATATCCCTGGAGTACGCAGTATGACCTCCTGTCTACAGTTCTGGCCTACTTTGTGTTTGCTGTAGTAGTATTCCTAGAAAAGCAAGGAAGCCCACAGAGACTGGTGTTACAAGGCCCAGGGAAATGGTGTGCAGGCGTGTCACCTGATTCTTTTCACCTGTTATGGACAGCCCTCTGCATTTAATAGAAACTGTGTTTTGGTTTTGTAGGAAAAGGTCTTGATTTTTATTTCCAACCATTCGATTTAGTGTTTCAATGAAGACGTCTTGAATACCAGGTGTTTTCTCAAGACTGGGTAATTTCCACCCATCTGTGCAGGAAATGAAAACCCTAACCTACAGTTTATGCATGTCCTGTGTGTTATTCCTGTTAGTACAGCTGCCTCTTTCATGTGATGTCATTGAATGTAAATGACTTGCGCCTCAATTTCGATGCTTCTGCTATTATGATGGAAGCTTAAAATGCATCTGTAATTACATCTGCCTACACGATCTCTAAATAGATTCTCAGCTCTTAAGTTTTCAGTTATAGAAAATCAAGTTTTTAGTCATGAGGACAGCTGGAGGCTGTCCTTCCATTTACGACACAGAAACTGAGTAAACAAGCTTGCATGCCACGCACCAGCATTGGGCTCTGGCTTCAGTGACCAGGAATCTTAGGCTGTCTTGCCTTAAAGTATGCTTGTGGACATGCCGCCAATCACACCGAAATCACATGCCTTCAATCCCTTGTACTGGGTTAAAACTATACCGTTGTGCCTTGCTGCTTGGGACTGAATCCCATTTTCGTCTACTCATTCAGTTTGACTTCCCCAGAGGTTGTCTTAACATTGGCATAGAATGCCGGCATAGGTGAAATGTCAGTGAGGGAAACCCTTTACTATCTCATAAAAGGATTCCCAAGAGGTGCACCATGAAGGATGAGGAGGCCATCAAGTCTTTAGAACAGGTGCAATGTTTTGTGAAACAAGTTCTAGAGTATGTATATCTAATTCTGTCATTAAAACCCTTCCAAAATTGATTAGGAGAGAATAGCTAACATTTTAGTGCGTGGGATGGTGCCTAGAATGTCCTAAGTGCTTATAACACACCATCTCTGAATCCTTTAGCAACTGGTAGAGATACTATTATGCCCCTTTACAGACAAGAAAATAAGTGGTATGTCCAGGATTACCCAGCTAACCAGTGGCAGAGTTGAGCCAGGAAGTCTGATTCTAGAAAGTGCTCTTAAACCCTTTAATAATGGCAAGAAATCTTGGTATTTAATGGCATGCCCTTCTCTCACATGAGATGGTATAGCGAAACTGGTTAAGGGTTCTAGCTCTGCCACTTACTAGCTGTGATAATGGTCTGTTAGGCTGAAGAAATGATCTGAAATATAGTAACTGCTCAGAGTAGATTATATCACTTATGGCTTTAGGAATTGTAGCAAACAGTAATTACAGGGAAAAAACCTTCAGGCACTTTAAAGTGGCATGCTTATTGAAGTCGGATAAATCACTACCACGGCAAACAGTGGAACACCTGGAAAGAACATGCTAAGATCCAAGAAGGAATCATAGAACAAAGTCTGCATTGCACTTTTTAATTGCATGGGTAGTTTTAAATAAATGAAGAAAGCACCTTCCAAAAGATACACTAGCAGAGAAAGATTCCATCAGCATTTACATAGTAAATTTCTGTAACTTTACAAAAGATTCTTGATCTTTACTTGAACTGTACATGAGGGAAAAGGAGCCCCCTCAGCTAGGTTTCTCTCTGCTTGCAGAAGCAAACTAAAGTCCCTAAAAATCAGAGGCAGGCCTAGGATGCTGAGAAGGAAGAGAAATGATAAAGGGCCATTCATAAATTCCCTGTCTGAGGTCCCTTTGTAAGTACTTTAGAGCAAACTACTGCCCTTAAGATACTACCTCAAAAGCTGCAATTCGGGATATAGCACTATATCTGAGTACCTTGGGACGGCTGAATGTCTCAAAAGACAATACTTGGGGTGACCTGTGAGGTTTAACAGACAAATATTTTGCTGTGCATCTTCTACTTTGGCTTTCTGAATGAAGCACAGACAGGCTTCTCTGCTCTCTTCCAGGCAGTGTAAAAATCAAGGCAAAGGGCAACGTTGGGTCATCCTTTAGACACTTATCAGCTGGGGAAAGAGTTCATTGGCAAAGGTGTCCTCCCAGGAATGGTCTACACCAAGCAGAGAGGACATGTCGCTGAAAGGGGAAGGGGAGCCCTCATATGTACAGTCA